CCCTTCTTTAAAAATGTGTTGTACATGCATCGAGTGTCTCAGAAGAAGTAAGTACTTTTTTTTTTGTTAACATGCTTCCTGACTGTGGCAGGAAACTCTGGCTTTTAGTGATAAAGAGATACGCAAGCACTTTGAGCCTGGAAATCACGTGAAAGTAATATGTGGTTCATCTGAAGGCGCAACTGGTATTGTTGCATCCGTTGAGGGGCATGTGGTGAACTTGGTATCAGATACAACAAAGGAGCCTGTAAGTTAAGCATGTTTGGAAATTTGAGGTATGATCTAATCTGAAGTCCTTCAGAAGAATGGTGATACATACCACTTTTTTTATATCTGCAGCTCAGTGTGTTTGCCGATAATGTTGTTCTTAGTTCTGAAGTAACATCTGGTCTCACTCGTATTGGGGAGTATGAGCTCCATGACCTTGTAATACTAGAGTAAGCATTTTCTTCTTATAAGAGTAAGGGGATTGCATTACACAAGTTGTCCTTTTCGAACCAATAGCTAAATTTCTTATTTGAATACGTTTTTTGCAGCAATAAGAGCTTTGGTGTGATTATACGTGTAGACAGTGAAGCCTTCCAGGTGAGTATTATAGTTTTGAGGTTGAAGTTATCATGTTAATTGTGTTGCTCACATCTGAATGACATTAATAGGTCCTTAAGGGAGTGCCTGATAGGCCTGATGTAGCACTTGTTAGACTTAGAGAGATCAAAGGGAAAGTTGAGAAGAGAGGGAACGCGCAAGAGCACTTCAAGAACCAATTAGCGGTCAAAGACGTGGTGAAAGTTATCGAGGGTCCTTGCAAAGTGTGTATTGTCCTTTCAAAAATTATCTTGTTACTGACTTTTGTTCATGTGGTGTGTGTGTGTGTGTTATCGTCACAACTTTTTTTGTTACTTATAGGGAAAACAAGGTCATGTAGAACACATCTTCAGAGGAGTTATTTTTATTTATGATCGCCATCACCTTGAGCATGCTGGTTTTATTTGTGCCAAAACTCAATCTTGTGTGGTGATTGGTGGCTCAAGGGCAAATGGTGATAGAAATGTATGTCTGTATTTTCTTGCTTCTGGAAGATTTAGCTATTGTTTTTGCAATTCTATCATATCCTTTTCTTGCTGTCGGAAAACTGTGCTTACAGTGGAATTCCTGTAGGGTAACCCCTTCTCATCAAGATTTGCACATTTCAGAACACCACCCCGTGCTCCTCAATCTCCAATGAGATCGTCTAGAGGTGGCCCGCCCATGAGCTGTAAGTTTCTGATAATGGTGCTATCTTGATGTTCTATGATATTCCTTTTAGTTCATTCACCAAAGGAGCCCTTGTTTCTTACTCATTTGGGTTTTACATTGCATGCTATTTGTCACATTTATGATCTTTATTTTCATGTCTTCCATTTGATTCATTATTTTCCTAACTTTTATGCTTGGTGTGCTCTAGATGGAGGCAGACATAGAGGTGGGAGAGGGCATGATGCTTTAGTTGGAGTTGATGTGAAAATTCGCCTTGGGACCTTTAAAGGTTGTAAGGGGCGTGTTGTTGATATCAAAGGAACTTCAGTCCGAGTTGGGCCCAGATGAAAGTTGTTACAGGCAAGTTTTTCTTCAATCTGGGTGCCCTGGTTCTTTTTCTTCTTTGGGTTGAGGGTTGGGTTTGAACCAAAAATGATTCTTTAATTACAAAGGGCCCTCTTCTTTGTAATTTTGTGGAGGGAAGCTTAGTTGAATCCCGATTATGGACACTGTCGTCCAATTTTTTATTTTTATTTTTGATTGCTTAACATTCTTTGCTGACTCCAATGTTTCTTGCAGTGGATCGCAATCATATTGTCGATAGTGTTAATATGTCCACACCATTCTGGTAAGTATATTTCTTCCACGAACTTTTGAGTTATTGGGTATTAGCTGTCTAATTATTTCTTTGTTTTTAGGGAACCATTTGGATATGGTTTGGGCAGTGAAACACCATCACATCCTTCGAAGACTCCACTTCGTACATTCATGACACCCATGAGAGATCCTGGTGGTCCTTTTTTCTGCTGCTTTGTGGCAATGTTGTTGTTCATCTCTTTTTATTAATTTTTTGCTAGCTGTTTGACTTTAGCTTTTTTGGTCATTTTCCTCTATAGCAACACCTATCCATGATGGCATGAGGACGCTGATGCGTGACAGAGCATGGAATCCAATGAGTCCACCTAGGTATGTTGTGTCATTGGAGAAAATAAGCTTAATGGCTTAGGGTTTTGGAAATAGAAGAAGTGCCATGTATCCTGCCTAATTCTTATTTGACCTGATACTAATTGATATAATCCTTGAAGAAATAAAAAAGAGCAATGTCTTCACATAAAATGTGACATTCGTGTCTCCTGGGTGGTTTAGGTCTTGGAAATGGATTTGTCGTTATGCATTCATGTGTGAAGTTCTCATCTTTCTCTTATATAAGATGGGTAAGGATCAGATTAAAATTATGGTCTTGTACTTGAAAGCCTTCCAACCAGGAGGTTGTGAGTTTGAGTCACCCCAAGAGCAAGGAGGGGAGTTCTTGGAAGGAGGGATGCCCGAGGGTCTATTGGAAACAACCTCTCTACCCCAGGGTAGAGGTAAGGTCTGCGTACACACTACCCTCCCCAGACCCCACTAGTAGGATTATACTGGGTTGTTGTTGTTGTTTCTTGAAAGCCTTTGTGCATTTAGGGGTGTCAATCTTCTTTTGCGTTTGCGATTACACTTTGGGTGGCATGCCCTCCTTTTAAATTACAGTCTTGCTATTTCAGTTTGTCGCTCTTACTGTCATAAAATTAGTGAGTTGGAGTTCCATTTTCTTGATATTAACTAGTTGCAATTGCAAAATACTAGGGACAGTTGGGAAGACGGAAACCCTGCTTCGTGGGGGTCAAGTNTTACAGTCTTGCTATTTCAGTTTGTCGCTCTTACTGTCATAAAATTAGTGAGTTGGAGTTCCATTTTCTTGATATTAACTGGTTGCAATTGCAAAATACTAGGGACAGTTGGGAAGACGGAAACCCTGCTTCGTGGGGGTCAAG